AAGAAAGTAAGGTAACTCTCTTGCTGATGGGAGACCCAGGTTTTCTTTAGTACCATCGATAGCTTATTGGTTTAAGGAGCTGTGTTCCAGGGAGCTTTTTGGGATACACCCTGCCCTGGGGAGGTGCAGCCGAGCACCTGTTCCTTCACACATCGAGCTGTGTTCAGGATAGACACGGTCAGTTTGCAACCAAAGGGCATATGTTGCAGCATGCGCCACTCCTGTCCTTGGGTGTCCACAATTCTTGCTATCTAATTTTAGGACTGCAAGACATCAACTGTGTTTGCGGTCACTACTGTAGTGGCAATGGTCCTCCCAGGTAAAGGAAAGTCAGATTCACGGTGAGAAATTCTCCCTCTGGATCTCTCTTCTAGGTCTTGGGCTTGAAAATGTGCCCTGGTGCAAAAGCATCATCCTTTCTGGGTCCCACAAAGATATCAACACAAAAAGCAATTTTCACCAATAGCTCCCAGAAGTGAGAATAAGGCTAGAGAAGATTGAAAAGTGAAGCTCTTATTGTCTTCAGAGGGGAGGCCAGGCACTGTGCACACAGATCTCAGGGAAGAAAAGGCTTCTTTTATTGCCACTCATTGCTTTCTTTCCCTAGTTCGTTTTGCAGCAGATCCTTTTATAGTAATTATCAAATGCTAGATTAGTGGCAAGGTACCCCCCTCTCAGGTGTGCAGAACAGCTGATTCTGGCTGTTCCTGTTTGTAATCATGGATATATATCCTGAGCCTGTCCAGATTTGATGTGGTCACATCGAATATGCCTATCCCCATGCCCAGAACATAGTGGCCACTTGGTGGCTTCTGAACCGCATCCCAGGCCACCAGTATGAACACACCAAACCTTTACAAATGCTCTTCACCTCATGTGATTCTCCTGTATGGGCCACTGGGGCTTCCTGAGTCTTTTCTTGGTCTTTAGCAGCTGGGGTACTTATAGAGTGGCCTCGGCATCTCAGAAATCCTTTAGTCTAGAAAGTAAGTTCTACAACTGGTAGGCAACTTGTAACGTCCAGCTGAACTGAGTCAGTGTGGTGTTGGCTGTGGAGGGCCCACCCAAGGATTGTGGCTGTCAGACTAAGAGGCAGAACTGGAGAGGAAGAGGTGGTCCTGTTGGTTCTCCTGGGGGAGCTTGTTGTGTTGGTTTTCCCGATATGAACTCAGCTACCCCTTCACTGGAGCAGCTTGGATTCTGTCACTGAGGATGGCTGTGGTTCTTTTCAGCGAGCTCTGGTCCTTACCTTGAGCACCACTTCCTGGCTCCAGTGGAGATCCACAGCCTGCTAGCACAGATCCTTCATCCTGCCGACGCAGACTTTCTAGCTTTCAGCTTTCACCACTGACCTTTGGGCCTTCCCAGTGCAGATCCTTGATATATTCTTGCATGAATGAGTGTTGTTGGCTGTAGGCCTGCAATCAGACTCATACAGCGCACTGCCATGGGTTCTAGGTCTTTAGCTGGACTTGTGCGGGACTTTACCATGGGCTCTGGGCCCTTAGCTGGATTCTTTGGGTCTTTAGTGTATGGATGAATCTCCTGCACTCTTGCCTTTGACTCTTTGGGTGAATGTTATATATAATAATCCTATAAATTGTATGTCCTATACTGTTTCCCTTGCAAACACTGACTACAACACAAGTAGTGATTTGCATAGTACAGGCACCACTTGGTATCCATGGGAGTTGGATCCAGAATCCCTGCAGCTACTCAAATCTGAGGATGCTTAAGTCCCGTCTAGCAAATGATGCAATATTTGCATAGAACCAATACACATCTTCCTGTATACTTTGCCAGTAGCTTACTTACGCTAACCAATACAGTGTCAGTGGCATGGTTGTAACAGGCGCTTACTGTGTTATAGGGAATGATAACAAGAAAAAGCCTGAACATGTTCAGAAAGGATGTCTTTTTTCCTGAATATTTTTAATCTGTGGTTGGTTGAATCTGCTCACATGGAACTTACAGATATGGAGGACAGGCTGGAGTTTACAACGAAGTGGCTCATTTCGATATAAAATGTATTTCTGTATTTTATGTAAATGTGAGTATTGTGTATTTTCAATCTTAAAAGCAGGTGACCAGCATGTAGACCAGCCTTCCTTTGTCTTAAAAAAATTCCATGGCCCCTTTTGCTAAACAGAGAATAAGTTCTCCTGGCCACCCTTCTCCTCAAGTCAGTGATGTTCCACACAGGCTTTGGCTGTAGCAGCAGACTCGCTATGCTGAGAGCTCCAGGTAAAAATTCGTACGGGTATTTCCAGTGAAGAGATCCATGCACACCCACGTTGGCAGAAGCAGTTGTAACAGCTCCATCGTGGAAGCAGCCTGGATTTCGCCAGTAAGTAAATGGATAAAGAAAATGGAGTTACACACCGCGGAGCGCTACACTGTCGTAAAATTTGTAGGAAGTCATTTGTAGGAAAATGCACACAGCCTGAGAGCATGATGCTAGCGCACAGATCAGGCCCGTAGCTTAAGCACTGTCTGGTTCCCCTTACCCGAGAAACCTACCAAGAGCAACTTACAGATAACAGGAAGTGGAGTCTTCTCAAATGGGAGGGGGACCAAGAGACAGAGGAAGACAGAGAGGAAGGAAAAGAACCAAGATGTGTAACGCACACGCACCAACTCCACATGTGTGTGCTCGGCATGTACGGCAGATGTGGCCACCAGAAGAGCATCTCAGCTTTATTCCAGAGGACAGTTCACAGCATGAAATGTAACGGTGTAGCTCAGTGGGCGAGCACCTGCCTAGCAAATATGAGGCCACGTGCTCCGCCCTTAGCACACGTGCATGTGCACACATACTTCCAAAAAGAATTCTAAGATGAATGAAGTGAACCACTTCCAATCTTTGGAAAAATGTGAACTGCACAGCAGAGATGTGCGTGAGCCTCTGCACAAGGGACAGGGCTGCGTGCACAGAGCTCTGTGTTGATCCGTGACGGTCCTTGCTCACGCTCAGCCCTGGACAGCAAGAGCCCCAGAGCGTCACATCTGCGCTGTGGGCCAGGCATGCCCCCAGTGCTGCTGAGTGTGGGTACAGCCTATAATCCCGGGGCTCTGAGAGGCTGAGGCAGGAGGAGTTCAAGTTCAAGCCCAGCCTGGGCAGCTTAGTGACTTGCAGAGGCTCTCCCTCACAATAAGATAAAATAATAAAAAAGGGCTGGGGATACAGCTTAGTGCAAAGGCTCAGGGTTCAATGCCCAATATTGGGGGGGGAAGGGGGTATATTCCCATCACTCAAGCATTATGGCCAAAGCACTGGCATCTCTAAAGGTCTAGAAAACAGCTGGGCTTGGCCATGGGGTTTTTGCCTCAGAAGAGGGAAACTTCTGCGGGTATCTGTGTTAGCTGTTGACAGAGACCTCTGGGCCACGGCCTGGCTTGTACCCTGGGCTGGGGGCACTGTCCTTCCCAACCCTTTACCCAGCCCCTGCAGCGGACAGCCAGGCAGGTGGACCCTTCACTGTACACTGATGCTGGATGGTCCCCCTTCCCCGCACACTCATGTCCAGAGCCCTAGAATCCCACCAGGGGGTCTGAGTTTGACTGTCCAATGCCCTGCCTGGCAGACCTGCCCAGGCCACGTGAGGACCAAGGCTGCTGTTCTTTTGCCCTAGAATTTTCCTTCATCTCTTTTGGCAGATTCCTAGAATTTTCCTTCATCTCTTTTGGCAGATTCCAAATGCTTAATTTTATAAGTGATAAAAATTAGCTCTGTATTAGCAAGGCCTTGGACATATTTAAGCAACACGCAGACAACCCTGTTCAGGGCTGCAGGACAAGCTCAGTTTGCTTGTCCAGGGTCTCTCGGGGGTTCCCTGGGGCAGACTCCCCTTGAGCTCTCCATCTGATGCCTTCAGGGATAGGTTCAAATGCTAGGCTTCCAGGCAGCAGCTCCCCAGGGTCACAGCAGATCCTGGGTCTCCAGCAGGGCTGTCAGCCAAGGACCACACACCACAATTGCAGCACTGAAAGGCTGCGCCAGGCCACGCCCCCTGTGGTTGGGAGGGGGAGATCACATGTCCTTGGGGCCCTGTGGCTTGTTCAGAGGGTAACAGGTCTAGGACTTGCCAGGAACTCCACTGAACTCTCTGGTACCAGACTTGATCGGGAGCCTAGGAGTTGCATAGCCAAGCAGGATGGCCAGTTCCTCCATTCTGAGCGCACCCTCAGGATGAAATCTATAGGATCAGGGGCACACATCCCGGGGGGCGGGGGTGCGTGCTGCGCTCAGGGCCGTGGGAACTAAAATGAAGGCGATGCTGTCACCCTGCTGAAGGACCTGCAATGAGGCCATTCAAACTTCAGCAGATGACCCCAAATCCATTCAGCACTGTGCAGCAAGGGAGAGGGGAACTCGCCGTGACAGGCTCCAAGGCAAATTCCCCAGAAATCAAGGAAGTTACTTCCGCCCTTCTTTTCCGATACCTTTAGGGTAAGGATGCACAAACACCCTGCTACCCATAAGCAGTTGGTCACTCCTGGCTCTCCCAGCGTGGCCTGCACCACCCATACCACACTCCAGCAGCTGTGGGGCCCAGAGCTGGCTGACCACCCCCGAGGACTCTGGAAGCAGCACAGACCCAGGCAGTGCTCATTCTGGGGCAGGCTCTGCGGAGGGAAGCACTGCGAGGGCTGTGTGCCAACACTCCATTCTAGGGGACTTGACGCCCCGGACGGGCCCAGCGGGGGTGCGCACTCTGTGGGCCTGGCAGACACAGTTTTGATGCCCTGAGTGGCGGGCAGGACCCGAGTCTGGGATTGCAGAGCCATACAGCGAGCCATGGTGGCCAGGCTGCACACACCTCACCTCTGGCCGTGCGGCCGCTTGGGCCTGACCTTCCCACTGCCTCCCAAATCTCCCCTGGTGCACCGCCTTGCCTCACCCAGGGGATTCTCAGCCTCCAGGTACGTCCCCTCCTAAGGTATCTCCTCCACAGGCCTGCCTCTGCAAGAGGTGGACACCCATGACCACCACGTGTTCATCTGGTATGGAAAAGGAGATGACTGTGTTTATTGTCAAGGACTGAGAACCAAAGTTTGCACTATACAAATGTGGAGGCGGAAGGGGGCGGGTGGGGTAGAGAGGAGGCCCAGCATATGCAGCATCGCCCAGTGCCTCAGCTTCCTGTGCTGCACCCTGCCACCCTCCTACCCCCAGGCTGAAGCAAGCCAGAGATGGCCTCGGTGTATCAGCTGCTGCACGGCATGCAGGCTGGAGGGCTATTTCAGACTGTGCTGGGGGGCCCGGCCGCCCGGGGGATGCTGACGGTGGCCCACGTCGCTCACTGGTGCCAGGCCCCTGGCTCCTTAAGTCCTGGGCCTCTCCTGAGTTTCGATGACCAGCCGGTCTGTCGAGTACAGCTGGCTGATGTGGACCTGAAGAAGAAGACGAGACATGTTAGGAAAGTGGCCTTCATCTGCTGGAGGAGCAGCCTCTCCACGCAGGTCCTGGCCCTGGCACAGGGCTCCTCTCGGACACTGCCGTGGCTAGTTCCTCGCATGCCCATGGCCATCCCTTCTTGGGTGCCTGGCTGCTGGCTGGAGGCAGAGCCACAGGCACAGTGCCGAGAACTCCCCATCATGTGCCCTTCCTTCCTGTAGAATAGCTTCTCCCACCAGGAAGGGCTTTCAGCACCCAGCAGCAGGCACTGGGGGCGGTGCGGCTGGCATGCTTGCCTCCCACCTCCTTCGGCTTTGCTCTTCTGCGTCCACCGCACAGGCTGAGGCCACAGCCACCACCCAGGCCACAGACCTGCCTGCCTTTGGAACACAGTGTCTTTGTCCTTGATTTCCTTTAAAGGCACTTCCTGAGTGCCTTTCAAAGGCCAAGCAGAATGGGTAGTGAAAGGGCTGGGCATTCGGCGGCCATTGGCAGCTCTCTATGAGCCATCTGGGGCAAGTAATTGCTCTTGGCAAAGGTAAGTGAGAGAAAATCCCCCAGGGCCAGAGCTGCTTAGGGCCAGAACTCAGATCCCCTGTGTTTTTTCCGCTGGCCCAGGACAAGGGACAGAGCACTGTTATGGGGGAAGGCTTTGGGGAGGAGTTCTTCCACCAGGGACAGCTGCAGGGACCACTGGGGTCCCTGCTTTCCAGTGGATGACAGTCCCTAGCAAGCTGTGGTGTCAGAGTAAGCCAAAGAAAAGGTGAGGGCACCAGAAAGAAAGGATGGAGTGAAGAATAGCAATTTGGGGAGTGAGCAATCGCGCAGGAGTTGTCAGTCGTGAGAGAATCTGCTACCTAAGAAAAAGTGCTATGCTGCACTCAGCACAGTTCCTGGCAGAAACCACGGTGTGGCTGCTCCTGTCCTCAGCTCTCCCTCTCGTCATCAGCTCAGGTGACACTGGGACCAGCGGCGGGGCAGGGAGACCTGGGTGCTCTGTCTCTTAGGCTGCTGCCCACACTGTGGAGCTGGGGATTATGCGGCGCCACCCAAGGTCAGAAACCATCCCAAGCTCTGGGCCCACTGGGATAGCATTTCTTTGTTTTCTCCTTTTCCTCATTCACTGTCTGGGTTTACAGTGGCTCCCACTAAATCCTGACAGATGGATGGTGGCAGCAATGGTTTTTCTTGAACCTAAAATAGGTTGCTGGGTGAGCTGAAGCCAGGTGTCCCCTACGGAAGAGGCGGCCACAGTGCAGATTACATGATGTTATTTGCACTAACAAACTCCCACAGACTGATGGGCCTCTTACAGAATGACTTTGAAAAAGAGAAAGATAAGACAGCAGTGGTTCTTTAAGCAGACCCCCTTTGGGAGAGATGCCCCACACTTCAGGGGGGCGAAACACAGATCATCCTGAGATGCGCAGGAGGAGCTCTTGGCAGCTGTTGGACCCAGGACCAGCTAGCTGCCTTGGAACAGTGAACTCTGTCCTGGTGAGGAGCAAGACGCTGGAGACAGAGTTCCTACGCTGCTGGGGCCTGAGCCTGCTGGAGGCTTCTACCTCTGAGTCAGGGTGCTGCTGGCTGTCCTCAAGGCCACTTTGGTTAGCAGGAACCCCAGGGTCTCTGTCAGCCCCGTGCCTGCTTCTCACACTGGAAGGATGGAGCCCAGAAAGACTCCATGTCCCTCCCCTTCCCATCTGAGCAAGGGGTGGGGGTGTGAGCTGGCTGAGGGCCACTCCCTGCAGACATGGAGGGGACAAGCACTCCTTCTGCAGCAACGGGGCGCGTGGTCCGCTGCCAGCAGCCCTGGAACGGCCCTTGGCCCTTCTCCATTCTAACCTCCTGCTACCCACAAGCCAGCAGGGCAGCACACATGGCACGCATGTGGGGCGAGCTTGCGCTCCTGTGTGTGTCCCACCTTCACCCCCACAGCTCTGGGGCCTCCCCAGGGACGGGGCCAGGGACAGGCACAGACAGCGTGCTCTGCAGACTCCTGGCTGCCCGTAATAGGGTCTCTCCCTTTCTTTTTTTGTGGTGCTGGAAATTGAACCCGGGGCCTCAGATGCTAGGCGAGCATTCTACCACTGAACTGTATTCTTGGCCCTTTTTATTTATTTTTGAGACAGTCTCAACAAGTTGCCCATTTTGGCTTTGACCTTGTGATCCTCCTGCTTCAGCCTCCTAAATAGCTGGGGTCGCAGGTGTGCAGTTCTGCGCAGCATAAACATTTTCCTATTTAAATTCCTGTTATGATCCTTATGCCACTAATGTCCTTAGAGGGGTATTTTTATAACAGTATCATATTTCTTTGTGAACAAGTAAGTATTCTCACACCATGAATGTTTACATTGTTTCCACTTAATGTTAGGGCTACCATTCATACGTAAGCCTTTGATCCCAAAGAATTCTAGAAATGGAATTACTAGGTAAATGGGTGTGAATATTGATATCCTACTGGAGGCTGGGAATTCCTTGTCAGTGTTTTGCTTGTTGGTCAACCCGGTGCTCCCTCTGGTGGCCAATCAGAGGGTTTTCTGGGCCTGTGTGTCCCCAGGCAGCATGCTGACCACTGATGCAATGTTGATGGCCCCGCCTGCATGGACTGTCCCTCACCAAAGCCTCAGGGGACAGCGAAGGCTGGGGGCAGGGGCCTCTCCTGGAGCGTGCAGTCCTGCAGGGCAGCGATGGGTGCAGGGGCCTGTGCAGAACGCAGGATGGGAGCAGGAAGCAAGCTAAAGAGCCACGTTCTAGGAGAGCTGAATCAGTTTACAGTGAAGCATCAGTAAGAGTTTCTGAATTTGTGTTTTCTCTGGGATGAAGACAGGGCTTCACACAGGTTAGGCAAGTACTCTACCAGATTCACCCCTCCCGCTTCCAAGATTTTTTTCCAAGTATAACTTCACAGATTTGGAGGAAAAAGGAATGACACTGGCTACCTATGACCTTAACAGTGCTAAGAGAGTTAAGGGGGCAATGTGTCTCTGATTGGGATCCTTCACTGGTGACTCAGTCTTCCTCTGTGCCCCAAGCCTCTCCCTGACTTCCCTAAGATCTGCGGGTTCTGACCCGCGTGTCTCTCTCTGCCCAGGCTGCTCTTCCTGGTGCCCCCTGCAAGGGCTGTTTCCCCTGGGAACAGTTAACCACGTGCGTGTGCATAGGGACCCTGTGGCTGTAACCAGCAGAGCCTGCCTGGCCCGTTATGGTTGGTACACTGCGTCACCTTGAAGTCTTGGGGCTTCACCAAATAACCTAGCACTTCTACATCCTGGGGTATAAAGGACATGCCCTTATGCTCTCGGATGTTTACTGTGTCAACCTGAGAAGTTTATAAGGTTAACTAAGGGGCTCAGTAGGGGGCCAGGGTCCTCACTTGGTAATCTTCCTAAGCTTGTATAAGAAGAGGGCACAGAGAGGTGTGGGTCCTCTTTGTCCCCACTTGCATTGACTTTAAGGGAGGGAAATAGGCTTGCCTCTTCCCCCTGAGCTCTTGCCATCTTCTGCCGCCATGAATTGCTGCCCCTGTGCCAAGCCACCCCGCCTGGAGCCAGCTGATCACGGACTGAAACCTTTACAAAGTGTGAGCTAAATCAACTCTTTCTCCTTAAATTTTGGGTGTTTAGTATTTTGTCCCAGCCAGTGATGGGGGGGGCGGCGGCGGGGGGTGAGAGTGAGGGAGAAGGACCAAGAGCGGCGGCGGTGGCGGCAGTGCCGTTGCACCATCCCTGGCTTCAGCTGTCTTCCATGGAACAGTGGTGGGCATGAAGCAGGTGCTCAGAAGTACAGTCATGGCCACAACATGATGTCTGGGTCGGATCTACCACCAGTGACCTTACAGTGGGTTTAGTTTGTATAAATACATTTTTATCCTGTTTCTGTAGGGATGAAACTGGCTACGTGCATTTCTCAGGACAGAACATCCCTGTGGTTCAGCAATGCACAGCTGTGCCTGGTAACTAATACTACCACCCTCTCCTACTCCGTGCCATACGGCCCCATGCCGACTCCTACCCAGGCCCACATCCTTCACCGACTGCAGGTCGCTATGGTGGAAATACAGAACGGATGAGCGCAAGCAACAAAAACAGCACCAAGAATGTTCAATAGTATTCAATAGAGCCCAGTCACTACAGATGACAGAGCAGAGGGCTTAAGGCCATAAGCCAGGGCTATAAAGGATTAACAGAACAATTACAGGAGAGCTAAGGGAAACAGTTCACACAGGGAAGAAATGCTAAAAAGTTATCTCCGCGAGGCCAGCGGAGCCCAGGCTGTGAATGTCTGACAGCGGTGCCAGCACACTTACTGTCCTATGCCACCACACACAACGCTGGCCAAGAAAACCTGATCACGCTTTCATCCCATGAACTCCAGGAAACTGCAGAGTGTCCTTCAGTGAGACACACAGGTTGCTCAGCAGCAAGTACCTGGGATGAGGACAGCCTAGAAGCACAATGAGCTCTGAGACTCGTTAGACAAAGGTGCTGCAAGGGAAGGGACAGCGCCCAGGAGCACACCTCAAGAGTTTCAGGTCTCCCCTGGGACTCTTCTCAGGCAGCAAGCAGTGCTCTGTCTAGTCCCTGGGTCCTGGGGGAGGGGACCCAGCTCACCTCTGCCCCTTCCTGTTCTTCCCATAGTGCATCTGGGAATCGAATGTGACTGTAGACATGAAGAAAAGTTACCAATTGCACCCGTGCCTTCCCAGGCGCCTGGTGTGTGAAACACTGCATGCTGCTGGGAGGATTAGGGCAGTGTCAGGCACACAGCCAGGGCATGATAAATGCCACTCATGTGCAGAGCTCATCTGACAAGCACTGTACCATGAAGCGGGCGCATGGTGCACACCGGTAAGCCCACTGCTCTGGGAGGCCGAGATGAGAGGATCACAATTCAAGTCCTGCCCTGGGATCGTGGCGGGACACTATGTCTAAACAAGTAACAATTATCACTGTAGGGAAGGGCTGCTCTGGAGATGGCTTGCTGGGCTGGCCCT